TTGAACCCATTGATTATCTTGATGATTCCATATTTCAAGTGGTATTGATACAATATTGGATTCACTACGTTGAATGAAATGTATAGCTTGGACTTGATGATTCATTAGCTTTGTTTTGCAGCCTTGGACTTGCGTTGAATCTGTGGCTTCTTTTGAGAGTTGTAATTCTAAGTCTTTGGTCTGGGGAACACCATAAAAATGACTAGGCTGGTAGCTAGGTATGTGATTGAGCACAAGATTTGCCTTGGCAAAAGCATGCCTCACTTCTGATATCCAGTGAGATTTAGTAAATACGAACCCATGAATAAATGAAGAATTTTCTAATGGTGCATGTACATAGAAAAGACGGAGATACAGTCGCTTTTTGGTATTCTCAATTGATGCTTGTGTGAGTGGTTCTGACACATCACCTACCTCACCAATCAATGGACCTAAGGCTTGGCTTCCTTTGATATCTAGATCACCAACCCTTTCATAATTTGAGCAAAGTATATGTAGATTAGACCTTCCACGATGGAACACTGCATCTCTGAGACCATATGTTGTCGGAGTTGTGTTATCACAAAGGATGACTGGGGAAGTAAAAAAACCCAAGCAAAACATTGCAGGAAATTTTCGAATTATCGCATATGAGAGTGATCTGAGATTGTGTTGTGTTGATTGTGACTAAATGGTGTGCTGATAGTCCAATGTGGGGTTTGGTAAGAGAAGTGGCAAAAAAACTCAAAGTGATGCAATATTATATCAAACACACCTAACACATCAAGAAAAGCTGGGATGCAGGGAAATGTGGGACATTGGATGGATTCTCTGAAACTTTGTAAGTTGTTTGTTTCACCATATAAACTTAAGTCCACTTGTGATTTATTTTTTTTGTGCTTATCCTCATGTAACAAATTCCAAGTGTGTCAAGTCTGTGGTGCCACCTTATCTACTGAATATGGATGAATTATAAAACAAAACAAGTTCCAATTGATAGGTAGATGAGTTTTCACAATGCACATATACCTTGGTGTCTCAGATCAAATTCACTAAGATTTTTATTTTTACATCCATTTTCGATAACAAAAAATCTAGAAGGTGAAAAGATTTTTGGTCCAGAATGAATAGTTTGGCAAGGATTCAAGTTGCAATTACATATGACCCATCAAAAATCAGTGAAGACTCAAATAAATCACATTTATGACTTCCAGCTCTACTTGCAACGCTGGGCCGCTACGCTACGCTACGCTAAAGGGCCACTTAGCGTTAGCGTAGCGGCGATAAAACGGGCCCTTTTTTCTGTAGTGTTAGCGTGCCCCTACCGCCGCTACGCTACGCTACGCTGAAGCCCCGCTAACAGGCGGCTTGTTTCTGGGTAGTGTTAGTGCATCGCTACAGCCGCTACGCTGCGTTACGCTGCGCTACAGCGCTTTTAGCGGCAAAAAAGGCAAAAAACCCGCTAAAAAGCGCTGTAGCGCGGCGTAGGAGGCACTTTTTTGTGCCCTGAGCGCATAGCGTTAGTGCAATTCCAAATTTCTGCGCTAACGCTACGCTAACAGCTAACGCACTTCTGTGCCCTTTGCGCGTAGCGTTAGCGCAGAAAGGCGGATTTTCCGCTAACGCTAGACTACAAAGTAGCTCATTCCATTTTATTGGAATGAAATTGCATTCCAACTGAGTTTTCATTCATGGATAACCAAAAAGGAATATTGGAATTTCTTTGAAACAAAGGTCTTTAAGTCAAACATTCATTAATGAAGAATTCCCTAATAAATCATGTAGTTTCTGTTGTGCCAGTAAGAATGGTTTATTTTCATAGCTTGATAAAATTGCAGCACTTTTGACTAATTGATGATTGAACTTCAAGACATGGATATTAATTTCCTAGATGTTTTTCTTAAAATTTGATTTTAAATGAACCCAGCTTAGACATTGGGATGCCCACATATCCATGATAATTTCAGCCTGTTATTCACTTGAGTCTCTCATTTGAGCGCACGATAAAAGCGACAAGAAATTTGTGCTGTCGCGGGCCCAATAAAATAGTAATCTGACAGTAATTATTTGAAATTAAAAGTGAGAATACCTTAGAAATATCTGCAATGCAAACTACATTGACTACATGCCATAAAGAAAAATAATTGATGGTACCATATGTGATATCATTTCATACATTAAATTTAGCACAAGGGATACTTTGTTTTTGTCCCAGGTTGTCATGAAGAAAGAGGTAGTAGGAATTTTATTTAAACATTTTGTTGAACTGGTCACAGTCATAATTTTGCCATAATTGTGACTCTTTTTGAGTGTATATTTGCAATGAGATTGATTAATTATCAAGTTTATGATCTGATTCAATTATTTTGTAGATGAATTTGATATCCAATCAATTTTGTGGCTTCCTGTGATAAGGTTCATTTGAGGAAGGAGTAGGCTTTTTGTTTGAAAAAAATGTGAAAAGATTACCTTATCTGGAAATTTCTATAATAAATTTGTTGATGCTGGTCAGTGGAGGGGATTCTTTGACATATTTTCTTGCACTTCCTTAGCTTAAAATTGATAATGTATTTTGTATGGGAGTGAGAAAAAAAATTTGAACATGATATAGTGAATTGTTACATGATCTGCATAATTAGCTTTTCAATTTGCAGCTTTATTCACAAAGAAGGGCCAGGAAATTTCAAAAAGTGGTAGTTTGACTTCTCAATCAAAATTAGGTCAGATAGTATGCAATAAAATGAAAACTGCATGATGTGTGATGAGTTCTGAATCTTCTTTATGAATGCTTTCTGTCAGTATGATTTTTTATCTAAGTTCAATGTCATGAATTTGATTTCAATATGTGTGCTAGATTGATAAATAATCAGACTCTCCTATCATATTTATCACTCTTTGAAATGCTGAATCATTTCCAAAAATTGATCTCATTTCATTGTACATTCAGAAGCTCTGAGTTTAGCTACAAGGCAGAAAGGGATTTCAAAGTGTATTCAGATGATAGGAGTGGTGGGAAATTTTCAGTGTAGGTATAGATATAATCTTGTAGATAGACATACATGTGGGATTCAATTCATACAAATCCCAATTAAATTTTTGCATACAGGAGGGATAGAGCTTTAGATATAACCCCTGATGAGTTTGGAGAATGGTCAAAGTTATTGTCTAACATATGCCCAGGATATGAATTGGATTCAATGAGGCACCTGCATGCAGGTTCCAACTTTTTTTTCCTGGTGTTTTGTCTTGGTTTGCCTCCCAGCTGAGATGTGCTTCTTCCACCTTAAACTTTTTTTAGATGTGGGTAGTTAGTGGTTGACTTCCCGTTGGATCTGGGGCCCTCCCAGTATTTGATTTACACCCAAAAAGTCTAGATTTTTGCAGGGAAATCCACATTATGAGGCTCTAAATGAAAACTGGGGGACCCACACATTTTGAAGGGGAGTCCTTGAGTGGACTTTCTGGTTGGTTTCAGCATTGGGCCAGCTATGCTAACCATAGCGTTAGTGTGGCGTAGTGTGCAAAAAAAATGCTTCAATTCAGCTTAGTGTTAGTGCATTTCTACTTTTCTGCGCTAACGCTCCACGCACAGGGCACAAAAATGTGCTAATGTTTAGCGTAGCATTCGTGTGATTCTGCACATCTGTGTAAAACTACGTGCACAGGGCACAAAGAAGTGCCCACTACGCTGTGTTACAGCAGTTTTTAGCGGTTTTTAGGCATTTTTGCCGCTAAAAACGCTCTAGCGTAGCGGCGCCAGAGGCACACTAAGACTACACCAAAAAAGTGGCCAGTATTATTGCCGCTACAAATCAGTGTAGCAAAGCGGCAGTAGTGGCGTGCTAACATTACACAAAAAAGCAGCTTTGAGCGCCGCTACACTAACGCTAAATGGGCCTGTAGTGTAGTGTGGAGTAGCAGCCCACCACTGTTGGTTTGAGATACTACATTATTTGGATTTGATTTGTACACATGAAGGGTGTAAGCAAAAGATGAGTTGATTGGATAGAACAAGTGACTTGGGAAACACATTATACAAATATACCCCTAACATGGAAAGTGATCATGCAAATGGGTGAGAGGGTGTGGGATTAGTTCAGGTTTATTGGTAGCCCATAACATGCTGGGGTTTATATACATTTTATAATCTCTCACAACTGGATCTCCCAAATTGGCTCTGGAATTAGGAGGTCATGTTTCAGTGTCCTTTCACTCCTTGGCTATGATGCAAGCCCACTTCTCAAATTGCACACATCAGAATCCTAAAATACTATATATGGGAGTGATCATCAATTTGATGAATGTTCTTATGAGAAGACATGGATGTGAAATTAGCAAAAATTCTAGCCTAGATAATCTAGGGAATGGCAGCTACAGGTGGTCAATTGATGATTTTTACCTATGGAGAGTTGGAAGTTGGAACCCCTGCAGCTAGGAGCAACGGTGGGCCACTACACTAACTGTAGCAATTAGTGTAGTGTAATGCAGCAGAATTCCCACTAGCGTTAAGTGTAGCATAGCAGAATTCCGCCACAGCACTGCTAATGCTACGCGTGTGGGCCACAAAAAAGGGCCCACTATGCTGCGCTACAGCACATTTTGGCGGTTTTCGGGCCATTTTTACCGCTAAAAGCACTGTAGCACAGCATAGTGGCACTAACAGCGCGCTAACACTACAGGTTTGGCGCGCTGTTTGGGCTGTTTAGTGCAGTGTAGCGTAGCGGCCCACCGTTGCTAGAAGCTCTGATGGTCAAAAAAGGATGATATTCACAACAGCCAACAGATTTATGAATGATTTTTAATTACATCTCATCTACTTTTTTCAGTAAAATCCAGCTGGATGATTGACATAAAAAAGACACTTACAGAGCATAGCTCAGGGAAAAAAGGGTCAACTGAAAAGTTTGATGATGTTGTTTTTTTCATGGTATCAATATCACCCAATGGAATTTATCATTACATTGTTGGTTGGTGGAACCAGCCCCAGAAAGATTTTGAAATCTCTTACCAATTTCCCCAAAATGATTTTGGATTTGGATCTTGAACAAAAACCAACCTTCATTGAGGTATGGTGTTGCAAGCGGGTCTGGGCACAGGCCCCAGTCCCGCGTGTCCTCGCGCCACCGGGGCCTGCGCCAGCGCCCAGGGGGCTTGATTTGGCAGGTCGCGTGGGGGTCGGACCTTGGCACTGGCCCAAGCCTGGCTTGGCTGAACCCAAGCTCTGGGCTCACCAGATCACCGACATCGACTACCACCACCACTTTACCTCGGTAAGTTTTCATGTTCATTTTTCATTCTTTTTCTTTCACTAATTTTTTTTTATCTTACAGATGTCTGAATCTGTGGTGATGGACCCGACCGACTTGGAAATCCAAGCGAATAAGGAGCGAACACGGGCGCTTGTTGAGGAGCTCCGAGACCTGAACAAAAAACCGCCCAACAGGAAGCGATTAAGAAAGCAAAATCAAATATTGATGAAAATAGGACCTACAAGAACGACCGACTCACTCACAAGGAGCGTAAGCCAAATGCGATCATCAAGCCAGAGGTCCGCGATCTCATCCGCGAGAACGTCAACGGAAAGGGCATGAAGATCGGCGACGCCATGAAGAAGTTCAACGTCTCCCGACGCCAAATCCAACGGATCAAGGGAGAGGACCCCAACTTGATCAGAACGCATAAAAAGAGGCCGGGGAAATTCACTGACGACATGAAGACCGAGCTGCTCATGCAACTCGACCAGAAATTGACGACGACCCTTGCGGAGATGGCCGCCTTCATCAAGGACCGATTCGATGTGAAGGTCTCGACTCAGGCGATTAGTAACCTCATCCATGATATGGACATATCATGGAAGCAGGTTACTAATATACCTGCTGCGTGGAATAAGCCCGATCTTATCGAGCAGCGAGCAAACTTCGTCAATCGACGTGGCTTGGACCTCGGACGACGGGTGGTCTTTGTGGATGAGGCTGGTTTTGACTTACATTCCAGTCGAGCATTTGGATACGCTCCCTCCAGTATGATTTCTTTTTTTTTCACTTTTTTGCCTTTTCTGATTTCTATTGTTTCTTTTCATCTTGATCACTGCAGGTCAGCCTGCTGTGCTTAGCCTTGTTCCCAAGGCTAAGCAAATCACGTTGATTGGGGCACTCTCGGTGGAGGGCTTCGACTACTACGAGCTCCTCAACGCCAATAACACCAAGGCTAAAGGGGTAGGGGCAGATGAATTCTGCCTCTTCCTTGGCAGCCTTGGTGCTTGCCTCCCGAACGAAGCGATCATCATCATGGACAACGCTCCAATCCATCAAGGAGATCGCTTCGAGGAGGTCATCAAATCACTCGACGCCTCCAAATCAATCAAGGTGGAATTTTTACCACCCTACTCGCCGTTTCTCAATCCAATCGAATACAGCTTCCATTCGATCAAATCGTATGTTCGATCGAAGGAGCCACCCAACCGAATGGCGTTAGTCGACGAGATTAAAAAAGGGATTCAAGAATCAATCACCCCGGAGAAATCTCAACATTTTTTTGCCCATTGTCAGCGACTCTACCGCCCCTGCGCTGACTTTCAACAAATTACTGGGCCGGTTTTATCTTCTTCTTCAGCATAGACTTTTTTTTAAATTTTCTTTTTCATTTTATTTACAAAAAAAACCATGTAACTTAACAAGATGTAATTACAAAAAGTACCCAAGAAATCATCAATCTTAATCATATTGTATCTGTCGTGCTTAGGATCATATGAAGTGATGGGACATTGGTCCGCTGGATCCTTCAGATTTTCCTTCTCTCTCTTTTCTACCCACACCCAAAATTGAATGAATTTCAAACTTATCAGATCAGAAATGAAAACGTACACTACATTAGGTGATTACCAAAAAAGCACAACTGCTTAAAACAAGCAAGTCGTCCGTTCGTTCGACTTGAAATACCTACAGAAGTGGTCATTTGAGGCTTGATGAGATGGTGGTGATCCGTGAGGTCAGGTTTGGCGCGGGTGGCACCCTCGCTTGGGCTGGGCCAAGCTTGGCTTGGGTCCAATCCCCTCCAAATTGGAGAGGTGCCCAGCGAGGGTTGAATCCAGGCCAAGTTGGGTTTAGAGGCCGCCACGCGCGCTTGGGGATCGGCCAAGCCCGCTTGGCCCCTTTTTTGCCCAACTTGGGCCTGTGCCCAGACCCGCTTGCAACACCATATGTGTTTGGGGAAAATTGTGAAGGTTTATTATATCTGCAGGGTGAGCCAATTGGTTTTGAAACTGATTGTATCTGTTTTCTGGTTCATCATCCCTCTATCTTTTTTTTTCTGTTAGCCTCCTCATTTTCTCCTTGATTGATTTTTCCCCTGGAGATAAAATTCACTTTTTTTTGGAATGTTATTTTTGGCAATCTTCTGAAAGTCAAGCTATGGCTTCTATTCTCTAAATATGCTATCCTAATACCATTACTCAAGAACCTCCCCTCAACTCACTCTTTTGGGGCTATGTTGCGCCGGAGGTCTTGATCCTTCGCTGTATCCTTAACAAGAGATCCTGGGATGGAGGGTAATTCTCAAAATTGATGATTACCGCGAGTTGTACTAGGCGTGGTTTTTTCTTTTCTCTTCGACAACAATCTGTTAGTTTTTTCCATTACCTTTTGGATTGGATATCTCCATGGTTAGATCAATGCATAGTTTCTCATTTAGTTATATGTTGATATGCTTGGTTTGGGTGGAGAAAACTTTTTTTTGAGCCAGAGTCTAAGCGAATTGGCTGTATTTCTCTTCGTATGTATTCGCAGGATGACGATTGCTGAAGATGAGGATGATTGAGGAGCTGATTGGGGTACATGGTTCATGAATGCTTGAATATCTGAAGTGGAGTGCTTGCTTGCTCGGCTGTGTTAGTGTAGTCCCGCTCTCCTCCCTCCACCACCGGCGACTCCCACACCCAAGCCTCCACCTCCCAACAACAACCAACACCAACAACCCAGACAACAGCAGGGCGATGCTCAGCTTCCTCGACTTACTAGCGTACGTGTCAAACCCCCAGAGCCTGATGAGGGAAGAACGTGTTGAGCTGATGACTTGGAATGCTTTCACGATTAGTACAGTTGGATTTCGTTGGCATGGTACGCCATCATGGTACTCATGGCCGTCTCGGGCTCAGTCATCGCGTACGTCCCCACTATCCTCTTCCCTTCTTCCCTCTCCTATCTCAGCAGGAGCCAGTCCCCTCAAGGCTTCCCAACGAGGTCGAGGACAGTAGGATAAAAGAAGCCGTTTGAAACTCGTCCGAGCCACTATCTTCGCAATCTCTCCCGATCTTGCTATTCTTATGACGGGCAGATTATAGACCAGGAGAAAAAAAATTAACCACTATAAGTACTCCAGAACAATGAGCTGACTCAAATGTGATTTGCTCTGTCTCCGGCTGTATGGACGATGACCACGACAGCTTCCGCAAGTACCGACAGCCACCCCCACCGCCGCCGTTCCCGATCTCCTCCTCACCACTATCACAAGTCGCGCCCAACTCGAACCCGATCCGGCCGAACTCGAAAACCCAAAACCTGCTCATCCCATCCGTCTCGATCCTCCGTCCACTCTGCGGATTAGATTACGGACTCCGCGAGAACCTCGAAAGCGCTTTCCTCCAACAATGGCCCCTCGATCGCTTCGAGATCATCTTCTGTGTCGCTCACCCCGATGACCCTGCTCGCAAAGTCGCTCAAGAACTTATCTCTAAATATCCCGCAGTACGTGCTCGGCTGTTGATCGGTGAGCCACCCCCTCTGATCCTGCCATAACTTTATTCTTAAAAAGATCCAATAAAAATAAATGTATAGAAACCAAAGAAGCTAATTTGAGTTGTTGGGTAGCAGGGGAAGAACGAGTTGGTGTGAACCCAAAGATCAATAATTTGATGGAGGCCTACAGAACGGCGGAAGCTGATCTACTATGGATCCTCGATTCGAATGCACGGGTGCATCCGACAACGCTCGCCCGGGCAGTTTCAGTGCTATGTCCGCCAAGTGGACCGACGCGAAGCCGTGGTCGGACCCGGATCGGCCTGGTACATCATGTGCCAGCAGCAATCCTCCCCAAGTCAGGAGGGAAGCAGAACGCTCAAAGAGGTCTGGGATGTCTACTCGAGGGCTGCTTCTTGAACGGGAACCATGCCAGACAGTACCTCAGCTTGAACGCCCTCGGCGTCGCATCCTGTCTGATGGGCAAATCCAACCTCTTCTATCGCTCCGACTTGGAACAAGCCACACGGCGGTTTCTAGCCCGCAACCGAGGTGACAACCGGCCTAACAATCCAAGGTTTGACCTGGACGAGTCGGACGAGCAGGCTAGCTTGTTGGGTAGCAGCAACAACAGTAGTAACAGGAACCAACACTCTTCATTCGATGCTTTGGAGCTCTTCGGCCAGTACTTGGCTGAAGATAATATGATTGGTCAGACTCTTTGGGATGATGGGATCAGACATGCTATGACGATCGATGTCGTCGGTAATGTCGTCGGTCCACTCTCCGTCAAGGATTATTTCTCTCGTCGGATCAGATGGATTAGGGCGCGGAAATACATGTCAATGTAAGTACCCGCTTTCCCGACAAAAAAAAAAGAGATCAAATCCCCGAACTAAATTGTCCTCATGAATCTGCTTCATCTGGCTTCTTACATGAAGAGGCACAACATTAGTGGAGCCGTTTACGGAGTCAATCTTGCTGGGAATCGTGATGACTCTGGCCGTAGACAGGCTAGATCTGACGAACGGAATGTCGAAGAAGGTGGTGATGATGATCCATGAAGTGATGTATTTCATGCTAGATTATTTGGTCTATCGGTCGCTGTTGCAGTCGCCGTTGGTTCTCAGCGCGCTCCAAAGCGCGTCTGCTCCCGGCCCGATCTATACCCGGCAACCGGCGAAAGCTTCCGCGTCGACCGGCTCCTCCTCTTCCTCAACCGTGGTCCCTTCATCAGCATCAGCATCATCATCATCCGCGACCTACCATCACCCTTATTCTGAACAAGAAGAAGAACCATCACAACAGCAACAGCAAGAAGAACAACATCATGAGAGGGATGGAGGTGAAGAGCTGATCCAGATCAAGCTGAACTTCTTCGAGTTCCTGATCGGCTGGACTCTGCGTGAATGCTCGGCCCTCTCCATCTGGCTCATCGCAATGTCATCAAACAAAGTCCAATGGCGAAAACCTGGAAAGGTCTTGACGGTCCTGCGGAACGCCCGCGTCGCCGAATCTAATTAAACCTCTCCTGCACCCTATGCACTTTCCCTCCTGTTTCTTCTTCTCCTCTGTCTTTCTGTTGCCTCCCTCTTGATTCTGCATTTCTTTAGCTTCTGTTGTCCCTCCTTGAAAGTGTCCAACCCCCCTATCTTTTTCCTTTGTCTTTTCGTTACTTTCTTTATTCCTCCTCGCCTTTTCTTTTTTCTGTTTTGTTCTTAGTTGATTTTCTCTTTTTTTTTTGTTAGTCTCAAGATATCGCATCTTCCTTCCCTCTTGAATCTAGAATATCCGAATTGTCAACCCCCTTTCCCTTCCCTCTTCCCCCCCCCCCCCAAAAAAAAAAAAAAGTGAAACACGACAGGAATAGTATTTGGTACATCTGTTGATGGCATTGGACGTTCTCCGTCTCTTCTCATCCTATACCCAGGTTTTGGCATTTATCTAAACAAATAGAGCGGGATGCGTTGGCAATTGTCAGTGACTCAAATTAGGCGTAGCCCAAAACATCTATTTTGGTTCTCTTTCTTGTTGGCCAAGGCACGCAAAGAGAGTCAATGATTGCACTCCATTTTTTTCACATTGTTGGTCAATTTCTTTCTGAGGAAAAAAGGGGTATTTTGAATATGAGGGAAACAAGAAAACCAAAACACGAGGTCTTAGTGGCGTCGATATCGGTTGAAATCCTTGATGAAATAGTACAGCCACACTAGAAACAAGATATGTAGTAAAACCACGACCACAGGGCTATCTTGTGAACAAACATCAGAGATTGTAAGCTGCAATGAATTGATGTTGGTTCCCATTCCGTTGCGGCTTCTAGCTGATTGTTTCCCAAGGTTGGTGAGGGTTCTGCCACTGGTTTCGGGGTGACACATGATGTATGCGAAGGCAGCTCCTAGCAAGGTCTGTGGGGGCGGATTTCTCCACAGAGTCCGACCAAAATCTACTCCAAATCTGGAGAGCTCTCGCCCCAAGGTTCTTACTCTTTCAGTCAGGGATTGCCGGGTTCCATCTTGCTCTATCACGAAGTGGTGGTTGTTTGCCGCTTGCACTTGGTCGGCCGCTGGGTCGGCTTCCAGGGCCGTCATCGCGCGAGAATCTTCCTGGCTTGCGTGTAGCTGGGCAGTGGAATCCTCGAGGAAATTGTCTGTTGATGGGAGCACAATGTTGGCCTCCTGTTGCTAGACTCATAGACCGGACAATCCAAGAGGTCAGCTGGTGGTAGGCCTTCTTTGTGAATTATATTAAAGCAAAACTTACGACTTGATTTGAGTGGGGCCCAGATGCTGGCAATGCATGATTCAATGCGTCGGCATCCGGTTGCAACGGGATGGGCTGGTTAGCTGGATTCGCCGGCACCGAGTCTGAGGGAGGACGTTGACCGAGGTGGGATCCGAGGTCGGCTCCTTGATCTGCTTCTTCCAGATGCAAAGCACTTAGCTCTTCGCCACATCTCACTTTCAAAGTGCAATGTCCAAACACCTGGTCAAAAAGAAAGCTTGGTTCAATTCAAAGACCCCATGGTTTCTATCGTCATCAGGTGTATAATTGAGGCTTAACTGCAAGTAATATCAACCAGTGAGCCATGGCAACTTCAACCTGATTTTGTCAAGCAAATGGAGGAAGTAGGAAAGAAGATTGTTTGCCTAATTATTGCTCTTTGTACACCCGATGGACGAACTTGAGATGGCTTCCCCCAACTGTCATGTAACCAAGTCTGAGCCAAAGTTTGGGCACTGGGATGAAGTATAGAATGAAGTTGGCGAGTAATTGACGAACTGAGACTTGCCCACTAATTTCTCAGGACTTGCCAGGTGGGTAAGATTTCTTGCAGGTACATACTAGGGATTAAACGCAGCATCATTAATTTTTCTGAACCATGCACCTGCTCAAGACTCTCTAAAGCCTTTGTGGGTCTGGCCAATGCGGAGAAGAAAGTCTAGGTTCGAATCATGTCAAGCCGGGCCTTCATTGATAACATCAGACGTGGTTGGCGCAGTAACTTGTAAGATCCAGACAAGCTGTAAGCCGCTACTTCACAGTGATATCCTCGCCAAAAGTGTTTCAAAACTCTTGTTACCTGTGATAGTGTTGCATGGAGTATAAGATTGAAATGAATGAAATGTGAATTTCTATTTACTTGGGATTAAGGAGTCAATCTTGCTCCTATGTACCCTTCCAATCCGTTCTCTTCTCCTGTCTTTCAGTCTCTCTGGTTTTAAATTTCTTAGTACCGTGTGCTGTCCTTCTTTTAATATCTGCATATTAACATCGCTAACCGTTCCGGGCTTTGTGATTCTGTTTAGCGAATTAAGCTAACGGTAAGAATTTCAAGCGATCCCGAGTGTGACGGGTGCTATGTCTTGCACCAAAACTACTGTTTGTCGCTGTTAATTTATCCTAGCATGCCACAGGCACAGCGTATGTGAGACCAGAATGCTGATGGAGATACCAAACACTCAAGAGGAAATATTTAATACTAACAGAAACCGCACAATCAATGTGGCGCAGCGTAGCGGCCCACCGTTGCGGCCGGGCAGTGAGATTTTATGATTGGCAGAGGCTCTATTCTTATTGGCCAAGGTGGAGAGAGATGGTGTGAACATTAATGTTATGAGGAGTTCTTCACTCAGAATTAAAAGAAAACGTTCGTTTCCCCCCCACTTGCTTCCTTGAATGACTCTTCCGGCATTGGTCACAGACTCACAATGAATTCTTGAAAACTGGTCCTTATTCTCCCATACATTAAAATTACCAGAACAACCTTCAGGTCTACGTTTGTGACTCCAAAATCCAAATCCTTCAGGCACTTAGAAAACAAGTACTTGAGAAAGTGTATTCAGAAAAATGGGATACAGTTGTTGCAATGAGCAGAGAAGAAAAACTACAATCTGCACAACTTATCAGTACCTGTTGTATAAAATGTATTGGACTATTGACGTCGATATCTGATAAAATCCTTCAGGAAAAAGTATAACCAAGTGAGAAACATGGCAGACACAAAGAACGGAAGCGCAGTATCGTTAAAGGAATCAGAAGATAAATCAGACGTTGCAATCTCTGACAAACTGCCATTGTTTCTGACTCCGTTGCGGATGTTTGCTTCTTTTTCCAATCCAATTTTCTCTTTAGTTCCTAGTCGGTCCAATAACAAAATCAAACCAAAACAAACCAAGGCCGGTGGTGGTGGAGTTCTACCAAATGTACGGAGAACATCGGCTGCAAATATATGCAAGCCTCTCCTGAATGTTGCAGCTATTTCATTCACTGATTGCCAATTGGTTTTTGCCTCTGCATGGAGATTGTTTTCCAGTTGCGCTTCTGATGCTGGGTCGAGTGGTACGATAACCACAAAACCCTGAGGTGTTCTGCTGCTTCGATAAACTGGCACGGCCTCTCCATGCATTAGAGCATCAGATGGAATACTGGGTTGATTTCCTCGGTTCATGATTGGGCGAGAATCAAACTGGCTAATCTGGTTCCTTGCTTGAGAGGAATAGGCACGAGAGTGACCAAGATTTTCAATATCAAGAGGGTTCCAACCCACAGCAGATTTATGAGGTGATCGGTTAAGATTGGAGTGCGAGTAGGTCTGTTTTGGACGCATTGATCCCCACTGATTTCTTGGGATCAATCCTAATGCTCACCTCGGGCTGAATTTTTTAGATTCAAAGACCAGGTGTTCCAAAATTTAGTTTCATGGCCTCTTCTTTTTTGACTACATTGTTAAAATAACAAAAACTTACGCGCTGATTCAAGCTCGACCCAACAGCCGGAAATTTATGACCCAAAACTTCAGAGTCCCCTTGCAACGGGATACGCTGGTGACCTTCATTCACCGGGACTGGGTTTGAGGCGCGTTGAAAAATGCTTGACTCGGCAACTTCCCCCCGTTCAGAACTCTTTAGATTCAGATGAGTTAGCCTTTCTCCGCATTCGACAATCAAAATATGTGAAAAAAACTGTTCAAAAAATAGGCTGGTTTAATTAAAAAACTACCATGACTTCTAATGTCACCAGTGATTACATCGAGGCTTAACTGGGAGGAGTAATGACCAGCGGACCATAGCTAATGTGTGTTGGGCCTTATTCTGACGAAATGCAGTAAACAGAAATGGACACTTTTGGCCTAGTGGAAGTTACGCTTGCTTTGTAAAACCGTCGGACAAAAATGAGAGTTCTTCCAGAAATAATAACCAACTATGGCCTGAAGTTCACACCGATCGGCCTTTGCCACCCTAAAGAATTTTTTTGTTTGATGAAATAGGATGGAGGTGGCGAGTACTGAACTGGCACTTGCCCAGGCATTTATTCATACTCAGAACTCTCCAGATGGGTGAAACTTCTTGCGGTTATTGATGTGGGGAAACGCAGCACCAGTTGGCCTGTCGGACTCAGAACCTCTGCTGTTCTTGACTTGTGGGGAAGAAATTCAAGCCTCAGTAAGAAAATGATAAGGGACTCCCTAAAACTTGATTATCTACATCTTTTTGAAACATTGGGTGCAATTGGCACAGCAAAACACTGCTAAGATGTGAACCCTTAGACACCCTTCTAGTACCTCTTTAGGAATCGATTGGATTTTTGTGGGTCTAAGATTGATATTATGTAAATATGCTTATTCAGGAAACTTTGATGAAGGGAATTATGGGGAAGCAAAATTGCCCAATGACAGGCAATGGTTGGTAGGCTACTCTAACACAAATGTTAGTGTAGCACAGGATAGTCAAAACTGGCTAACACTAACAGGCTTTTTCATCATCTCTTTGATTTATGTTGCTAACAATAACAGTAACTTTGTGGAAAACTGGTATGACTAACAGAAATGACCTTGACTTAAGGCTGTTAGTGAAAATGACAGTTGTGTTATTACCTGTGAGTGTTAGTGTAGTGGCATGTGTCCATGCTAACAATAAAAGGAATTTTGAAGAAAATAAAAATGATACATTAACTCTTATTGGCCTATAATGTGAGTGTAGTGTAGTGGCAACAATGTAATAGATACAATAAGCTGTGTGTATCATGGAGAATTCCACAAAGCTGCATGGCCAAAACCCAAATTTGTTGCATCTCCTTGCAAACAAAAGTGCATTGGTCAGATATTGTTTTCATTGGGGTTCAGATACATGGAGTGATACATGTCAGATACCGTATCACTTCATTGTTGGTAGTGGCCCACCTCTGTGACAAGATCTCAAAAAGTATTTGAAGGTGTTTGATAAGAATTTGATGAATCAGTTTACATAATACATTGAAAGGTCATTGAAATAGACTCACTAAGGCTGTGTTTCAATGAAGGGATGAAAAAATTGATAAATTCTGGCATCCATGTGACACTGTTTTTTGCTTGATCCATCTCTAATCTAAATAAAATCACCATTTACATCCCTCCTCCAAAAAAAACTCATTGATCTTTATTTTGGTAAGCCACAGCAAGAATACTATCTCAAGCCTCATCAAGAAAGTTTTAAAATGGGTTTGGTTTGCATTCAAACTTTTCTTTTCCTCTTCTATATAGGAGTAGGCATTTATTGCATGGACTCAGAGGGCCTCATGCATGAAGGGGGGGCTGAGAGTAATATTTTTGACTGGATGATAGCAATCTTTACACATAAATGACATTCTTTATTCAAATTAGTGGGCAAACCATCACAGCTCTGATGGCACAAATTTATCAGAAGATGTTCAATCTACCAGTGTCTTAAGCTCAGGCCATCCACCAGCACCCGTCAAAGATCAAATGAGCACCCTTGTGGAAAGTGACTTAGGACCATATTTAAAGATCTTAGAAACATATTTTAACCATGAAAATTCTAATTCTCTAGGCCAAAACGTGGAAGCAAATCCAAACACCAACATTGTATCCTTCTTACCCAATTATCCAACTCATCAATCATCATCATTTCAGTCACAGATAGATGATCAAAATACATTTCAAAATCCAACAGCAAACAAAGCTATCACATTGGAGATAGCAATGAGTACAGTATCAAAGATCCAACCTTCAACAAAACTTCATGCACCTGCTATCAATCATTTAAACACATCCAGGAAACCAGTTTTTAAACACCTGATAGGTCCTCAATCTGATTCTAATTCAAAGAATAGAAAAAGAATAAAGATGAATCAAGCTTTATCAAAAAATGTAATCCAGATTCCGGAAATTGTAATCAGATCTGATGATGCGTCAAAAACCCCTCAAATATCTCAGAGCTCCAGTATCATGTACAATGATGCAGTCAGCAATAGGCTTGAATATTCACCATCAAATCCATCAGAAATTTACAAAATTAACCGTCATAAAATGGGAAATATTCTCCATACCAAAATAATTCCATCCTCACAAAATATGAGAGGTGTTGACGATGTCCTCAAGTTCAATGAAGAAGTATTTCAAAATCATGAATATGAATCAATATTAGATCAGTCCAATTCTGAGGCAATGATCTGGCTTATTAAAGAAATTCAGCCAGAACTTGGCCATCTTTACATTTCCTCAGAAACACCAGAAGAAGTGCATGAAATATTTACAAATTTTGATAGGAAGGCAATTCTGATAAGGTGTGATAAGATTAAGTGTATAAAAAGGCTTGAGATTAAATCAAATCCTCAAGAAAAATCTCAAATGAATCACCAAATAAAATCTAAAGCAAAGACTCAAGAGGAGGGAAGACTGGCAAATCATCAGGCAAAAAGAAAGAGAAAGTCCCTTGAAGATAAATCAGTTGATAAGCTATTCAACAACAGATTTCTATGGTACTCATTTTGGCATAAAAGGACTGGAATCAAAATTAAGGAGAACCACTCTCAATTCCAAGAGAGGCTTGTCCTATTTTTATTGTACATTGATGTGATTAGCACTATACTTGGAAA